GAGAAAATTACCCAATTGATCCTATACCATTATAAGGATGACAATTCAATCCTAAACTTTTTAATCTTACCAATTTAGTCCTTAACCTTTGCACGAAATTTCAATACAGTCTTTTTTGTTAATTTTCACAGGAAGTCACTAATGTAGCGGTCCAATCATCGCCGGCCATCCTACGTGGCACACCGCCTCATCAGCGATTTCAAGCAAAAATTGGTCGGAATGACTATATTGAAATTTCACGCAAATATTTAGGAATAAACTAATAAAATTGAAAAGTTTAGGACTGAATTGACAACCGTACAATAGGTTCGGGACCGATTGAATAATTTCCCATGTCCAGAGAAATCTCAAGCTGGTGTTTTGCTGCATTTATTACAGCTAAAAAATGGATTCCCCTTAGATGAAGTTGAATCAGATTTAGATTGCTTGTTGGTGCACCAAACTCAGAAAACCCTCATCCCCTTCTCCGATATAAAATATTTCCAACCGATGTAAACTTCTGTTCTACTGACGAGGAAACTTAAACCAGGACTCTCTCACCAAACCTCCTCCCCATTCTTTGTTTTGACTCGGGGTAAAATCAGACGAATAGGAGCACCATGGACGTTTAATAGTCATTCTAAACCCTTTTCTTGTCAGTGAGTATTAGATGGCCTTGGACGAAATCCCTTGCTCATTCAACTAGGGTTTCATTTTATGTTAGTCTTTGCTTGGTTTCTTATGAGACTTCATTCAGAGTCTTGTAAGACTAGACTGACTAGTAACATGTCTAGCAATTCCTGCACGACATCCTTTATTGTCTATGTTTCGTTTCGATTGCTCTTCTTCTCCCGCTGAGGTTCGCCCATTAAATGAATTTTTCCAAAGAGAATTTTATATATATTTGCTGCGAATAAGATTTAAGTGAGGGTAGCAATTAGTCATCATCTTGAAGGGGACATTTTTCGAAACGAGTGGTGGTTGCAACAATGTGCATTAATGCCCTTGTTTCACGTACATGGAAAATAGACTTGGCCCCCAAAAATTGAAGTGTGGATGGGACGAGTTGATAGATCAAACTCTCATTTCACGAAGAAGTGTGGATAAGATGCAAGCTATTTCTTTTGTTTTTTTAGGGTGGAATGGGTCCCACGTTCGTTGAGGCTAAAATATTAACCATGACTCCTCCCGTTTCCTTACGGGAAAATTACCAAAAAAGTTCTAAACATATTATAATTGTGCCAATTCAATTCTAAACCTTTCAATTTGGCTAATTTAATCCTAAACCTTTGGATAATTTGCTAATTCAATCCATTCAGCTAATTTTGACTGGAAATCAATAACGTCGACGCCGACCGTCATACGTGGCGCTACCAACTCTGGTGTGGAAAATTTTTATAATTTTTTTTAAATTTAATGAATTTTTTAAATTATTATTTTTATTATTTTTCACTTTTTATTTTCTCTTTTTTCATTGTGGGCTCGACCTTGTCAAGGCTAGATTGGCAAGACTCGACCTTGCTGGCGACCTCTGGTGGGGGATCAAGCCTAGCTGAATTTGGCGAGGTTGGGCCTCGTCCATGGTCGGCGACACTCAACCCTTGCCAATCTAGCCGCTGGCGAGGTCGACCTCACCTAGCGATGGTGAGGCCAACCTCGCCCAGCGACGGTGAGGTCGAGCCTTGTCGGCTACAATGAAAAAAGAAAAATAAAAAGGAAAAAAAAAATAAAATAATAATAATTTCATAAAATTTTAAAAAATTATAAAAAAAATTCACGTTAGTGCCGCATAGGATGGCCCGTGTCCACGTCATCGATTTTCTATCAAAATTGACCAGATGGACTGAATTGGAAAATTGTCAAAAGGTTGTCACTAAATTGGCAAATTAAAAAGTTTTACAACTTAATTAACACAATTATCCGACAAAAAAAATTACCATAATTACAATAAATTTATAATTTTTTTGATAATTTTCCCTTTCCTTACGAAAAGCCCTTTTCAAGACAAACAATGAAACCCATGAATCGGCTCGAATAATATCTCGGGACACACACCAAATTTGTGGTACCATCGGTTCTTCTCGACGTTGGAAGTGGAATGGTGGGCACTAACTTCTACGTGCCTAGAAATCCCACCCCACTTGAATGAGGGTTTATACCACGAAAAACCCCAAACTGGTACACCTATGACAATTTTACCCCAAACTAATTTTTTGATCATGAAAACCCCAAACTGATACATCTATGACAAATTTACCCTAAACTAATTTTTTGACCACCAAAAACCTCGAACTAGTACATTTGTGACAAATTTACCCTCCGTTAGTTTCCATTAAATTGAATTAATACCACAAAAAATCATAAACTAGTACGCATGTGACAAACGAAGGGTAAAACATAAAATTGGTACATCCATCAATTATCACGTGTCATTTAATAAAGCAATTTGACAGTAAAATATAACGGAAATAAACTGAGGGTAAATTTGTCACACGTGTACCAGTTTGAGGTTTTTTGTGGTAAAAAAATTAGTTTTTGGTAAAATTGTCACAGGCGTACCAGTTTGGAGTTTTTCGCGGTATTAATCCCATTAATTATTCGTTCGAAGGTACGGTTCATTAACTTGGTGGACCTAGTTGTTGTCGAGGAATTAATTGAATCCACTTATCCTTTACCCCAAATAAGTTTTGCTAGGAGAGAATTGAACCCAAGAACCACAATTCTTTAGCATGTACACTCCAAACAGCCTTACCAATTCTATAAATCTAATATCTTTATAATGGGGAGATCCAAAAGGAAGCCTATAACTTGAGCCAACCAACAACCTAGTTAGATCTACTCGAAAGTTTCGGTCATTGAGTTAAGAATGTCGACATGATATTATTGATTGTTTTTAGCTCTAGACATCCAATGTAAGACTTCTTTTTTTTTACACCACTCACATATGCGCTCAATATATCCCAAAAGGAGTAAACTTCAAGCAAGTGATGATAATTGAAGAGTGCAACATCAACTTCCACAGTAGTGCTTAGCCCTTTACACTTGCACAAAAAAGTAACATTTGCCACAAGTAATGCTCTGCTTAGCCGTGGCCGAAGCAACTCACAGAGAATCTAGCTCAATTTTAGAAAGTTGTACTTGAGGTATATCTCTAATTAAGGAAAAGTACCCAAAAAATTTTAAACCTATTGCATTGGTACCAATTTAGTCATAAACTTTTCAATTGGACTAATTTAGTCATAAATATTTTCATATTGGTATCAATTGAGTCCACTCGGCTAATTTAGGTTGGAAATTGTTAACGTGAACGCCAGCTGACCTACGTAGCATAATTGGCGCTAGCATGGACATTTTTTTTTCTAATTTTTTTATTTTTCCTAAATTTTAAATTTTTTCTTTCTTTTTTATTTTCTTTTCCTTTGTATCCTTCTTTTCTTCTTTTTTCTTCCACTGTGGCCAACGAGGGTTGCAAGAGCTCGTTGGCCACCAGGTGAGGCTAGCTTCACAATGGCTTGGCCGACCACGGGCGAAAGCAGCCTCGACGGCAGCTAGTGAGGCCATGGCCGCCTTCGCCCACGACCGACGAGGCTAGCCTCGCCCAAATCTTTGCAACGCCGCCGTTGTAGGTGACTCCAATGATGGTCGTGCCCATCGAGTGAGGCTCGTTCAAGTTGGGCTCCATTCTTGGGTCTGATCAAAACCCTAGCAGAGTCGCAACAGCGCCTTCAAGGTGTCTACTGGTCGTTGAAGTTGGGAGTTCGTGGAATACAGAGAGAGAGAAGGTGGAGGCTTTTTCCTTTTCAATTCACACTGGCTCCAAGCGCCTCGCCCAAATCAGGGCAAGGGCAGCCTAGCTAGGGCCTTGCCGGCCACGAGTGAGGGTCGTGACCCTCACCGGCCACAGTAGAAAAAAAAAAGGAAAAAAAAAAGAAAAGAAAAAGAAAAAGAAAAAGAAAAAAATTAATAAAAAAATTAAATTACCATTATGACGTAGAGCTCATGCACTGTGGGTCGTGTGGTGTAATCTACCCAGTCTATATCGAGCAAGCAATGCCAGTTTAACTTTATCAACTCCCCTCCATCAAATTATCTGGGAATATTCACATCCGTGTTGGATGTGCGTGCGTCCCAAATCAACTTAGACACTTAAATGCACAATTCCACCTTTTCCATCACCATGTTCATGCCGAATCCTCTAGTTCTATATAGAACAGAATGCATACATCGAAGTTTTCCGTGCTGGATTATCGGATATTTCTATCCGACGAGTTTTGGTGGACCAAGCCGAATCATATTTCACGAGAGAAATAACATATGTTTAGCTCCGGTCTCGGTATTACTATTTAAGACCCTTGTACTCTACTAGATCACAACTTAATGAACATGGAATATGATACAAACTTCTCCTTTCTTGGCCAATTACAAAATGCTACAAGTTTCATTCATGCATTAAATGTCATAGGGTTGATAATGTGCCATTAGTTTTAGCAGTAGGCAATGGTCCTTTGAGGGTTCTTTTCGGGATAGGTGACTTCATTTAATTGATGAACCGGACATAAACTTTCACTCCACAACTATCCTAAGCAACGATGCTTCGTGGTGACCGGTGATAGAGCCGTTAGGAAAGCCTCCCTCTCAAGCCCTAGCTGCCCAAAGAGAGGGTCTATTGCTCAAGAAATCTGTGACCCTCTAAAGAAAAGTCAGCTTTTGTACTATTTTTTCTATCTTTTCGATCATTTAACTTTAGATGGGCAAGCAATCCCTTACTTGTTTTCAGTATTTGCCTTTTAAACCTTGAATTTTTTTGTATAATAATTTTTTTTTGGCTTTTTCCAAATAGCTCGCTTGAACAATCAATAGAAAGAGAGAGAGAGAGAGAGAGCCACTTGGGGGTGACTCTTAAATTTGCTAGATTCCATATTCATCTATTCAGCTATAGTAGCTAACGTATACCATAACCATACCCACACCCCCACCACTTGCTTTTATCGTGAAACTTTGGTTTTTCTTGTTTGATTCATTAATTTATTCTCGTGGGCTTTCGTTCTTGATGCCGTTCTTGCCTTCTCCGCCTAACTCTCGTACTATAAAAGACGGGGGCTTTTGGTTGTGCGATGACCTTTTCTTGTGAACTTCACCCACAAGCGCTCACACACGCACTCTCACTCTCTGATCTTTGTGTATCCTCTCTCCTTCTGCAAATTCACCGGAGAGAGAGAGAGAGAGAGAGAGAGAGAGAGAGAGAGAGAGAGAATATGGGGTTGTTCAGAGATAAGGGAGTCGTTTACAAGGCGGCGGAGACAGTTGATCTTGGCCCTCACAGTGATGAATTCTATCTCCAAGCCAATGTTAAAGGTTTGTTTCATCATCATCTCTCTCTCTCTCGTCCATTCTGAAAGCAAGAGACTTGATCAAGAAAGCAAAGTGGAGAAAAAAGAGAGAATCAAAACCAAAAAGTTCGCTTTACACGTGTGTATGTTCTTATGATACTGTCATATATGCTAGTGAATTCACTGACTCGGCCTTCTTTCTGCTTCGTCACTTTCAGCTCCTCGCATGGCCGGACTTCTGGTGAAGATCTTCGTGTGGTTCTTGGAATCGAGGATATTCGGGGCAGTGTTGTTATACTTCCTCAAGAAAAACAACCTCATTCACAAGGTACTTCCCTGTTCTCTTTCTGTTTTATCGCTTGGTCGATGGAATCTTTTCACAGAAAAGATGCAACCCTAGCTAACTATTACCTTCATCCATTCCACTCGAAGCAGTAAGGGTGACATTCTTTTTTCCAGAAGAATCATATTAACTTTGCTTGGTCCCTTTGATTGTTTACTAATGGCGATGCTTCGCTTTAATCATGATATCAAACAAGCCGGACGCTCCAACTTTTCATGCTATCCAAAAAAAAAATATCCCGAAATTTCTCCGACTATATATTGTCACCTATGTAAAGTTTTATTTGTTCGATCGGCTTTCGTGAAATCGAATCGCAGTTTCCGCACGACCTTCTCTTCTGGTAACAGATCAAATGAAAGCCGCCACATTGATAACATCGTGTCACTAAAATTGGAAATTAGAGATTGGAGAAGAGGTTGCATTCCTAGGTTTGACCGTACACTGCATGCAATGGCGGGGTAAGGAGTATAGTTCTTCAAACTTTATGGAACATTATGTTCGTATAAACCATAAGTAGTAACCAATTCCGAGACAATCAAAGCTAGAAAAATTACACGTCGCCAATCGAAGTTGCATATAGGAAAATCACTGATCGTCTAATATTAAATTCCGTTGCACAATGTATTCTCCTAGTCCTGACTCCTGACAACCTTAGGGCATTAATGTACCTAAGACCTTAACAATAAACCTTTAGAGCAATTTGATTTTGCAGAGGACTAATCAATTTATGACTTAATTGTGTCAAATTATCATAATTATGGTCGAAATTCACCGTACTACCGACCCACATTATATATTCAGTTGCCAATTTGGCTTGAGTTAATTTTTCTATTATGTGCCTACACGTTTCTGTGTGGCCCATGTTGCTTTAATGCAAATTGGTCATGTGGGTTCGACCCACGTTCATTCTTTGGACCATAGTGCAATTAGAAAAAAATAAATTAATAGATACGTGGCCATGAATATTCCATTCGCGTGCTCCCCAATCACTCCAACTTCACCTTCATTGATTTTCTCAACAGTAGCGACGGCGTTCTGAAAGGTGTAATGAGTTTCGTTGTTGAAGTTTTTTCTTTTAAAAAAAAAAAAGGTCGTAATTGAAACAAAACTTTATACAGGCTGCGTAAAACATAAATTGAAAATGTATGCGGGTCTTTTGTCAAATGCGCAAAGTTTCGATTTTGGTAACTATTTTGTGCATACATGCCGAAACAATCCCTAGGAATCCGTCATCGATTATTTGCTTGGCCCGTCTATCGCATAAAAAAATCAACGAAAATGTCGAGGGATTGGAAAATGAAAGCGTTTTGTTGACCGAATAGTAATTATAGAAAAAATGACCTGTCATTTTTTAGGAGATGTGGAAAATAATCAGGTATGGTGACCGGATTTTTCTGCAATTTTGCATAATGATTTGGCACTTGTAAAGCATATTTTGCACTAAGGTTATGATTCGATTCGAAATTTGCAGCTTGTTTCTAATGCAGAGATAGAGGAGTCCCCGGTCTTTGTTCCCTTGCACCCATTTGAAGGTATGATCTTTGCACCTAATCATTAGACCATTTTGAGTTTTCAGTAAAGTAATGCAAGTGGGTATATGAAGACCGATTTACAAACTTCGTATGTTCATTAGTGTGATAGAGTAGAAGTAGAGATTTGAACAAGCGAGCAACGTACGATACTCGGCAAGAGTCTGTGGCGTCACTTAGTATACTGATAAATTAGACTCGGAATGCCTCCATCACTCAATATGTACTTGCTCTCACTGAGCTCATGTAGACAGATTCCTGTTAAAAGTAGAAAAGTTTTTGATATTGATAGTTGTGATGTGAATCCAAGTTACTTTGAATGTGTCGACCAAAAAAAAGGTTACTTTGAATGTTCTTACATTCTAAATCATTCATCAAGACTGCAACAAGAAGCTATGACTGTTCCTGCTGACTTGTCTTTGCAGAACTGAACGAGAAAGAAGTGATTGAGATAGATCCTAATCTGTCCGTGCCGGAAAAAGTTCAGAAAGCAGTGAATGCGATAACTCCACTGGTTGAAGAATTAGTAGATGGGACGAAGCCTTCTTTCCGCCGATGGACTATAATGGACTACTCGAGAGCCTATAGCTCAGGAGTACTAACACCACTTAAGGTAAATCGTTTGATCAACTTATGTATGGCCTTCTGACTTCTTTTTATCAGTGACATAGCATGCCGATAGACGAAAATGCGCCGATTTCTACCGTGGAACCCTGTATCCGTTATGTTTCTGATTTTTTCCTCTCTGCCTTGCATGTCAAAACAATGCATGAATAACCAAGGCCTAAAATTTTACTTCTTTCGACTGTCTGGACACGCACCACTCTTTGAGCTGACTGAATCTAATCTCTCTTATATGTTTGGCAGGTGGCACAGAGATTTATAGCTTCTGTCGAAGAATCTTCCGCTCGACCATTGCCAATGGCCTTCTTCATCGACTGCAAAGCCGAAGATATTCTGAGGCAAGCTAAAGAGTCGACTCTCCGCTATGAAAGAGGTAACCTTGTTTGCCAAATGGTATAGATAACCTCAAGTCAAAGCAATATAAATATGCTCGGTTCCTACAAAGAAGTACGTATCATATGTTAACTTATTCAATATTTTTATTGAGCTTGTCTCATCCCGGAAATATGCTTGCAGTGGCATTCTCTATCTAGCCAAGCATTCCTCTCCAACTATTTGTTGTAACTTGTATTTTCTTTATCAGGAGAGCCAATTTCTGTACTGGATGGAGTACCGGTCGCTGTCAAGGATGAGATAGATTGCTCTCCCTACCCTACCACAGGTTATACAGAGTAAAGATCACATTATATTTCTGGTCTCTAATTCTCTGTGCTGAGTGCTTTCTCTTATGGATTGGTTGTTACAGGTGGTACAAAGTGGCTGCACAAATTCAGAACTTGTCAGGGGGACGCGTGCTGCGTTATGCGCCTCAGGTCGTGCGGAGCCATACTTGTCGGTAAAACCAATATGCACGAGCTTGGCGCTGGAACGAGTGGGATAAATCCTCACTATGGGTAGGAGAATCTTTTACCTGCTCCTCCTCTCTCCCGAAATTGTACAAAAAAATTGCGCATTTGGAAAATGGAATAAATTGCCTCTAACAATGTCCTCTGGCAGCTATAGCTGTCTGATAATGCTTTTCTAGGAAGAAATGCCTCTACATTTATATGTGCCACGCACTTCTTTTGCTGGAATTATTCATGATTGCTCAGGAAATAATCAATGGCAGATAGTATAGCTTCAACAGGATGACATCACTCTCCATTTTCATACTGCTGTAGAACTGCTAGGAATCCATATGATAGCAAAAGGATAGCCGGGGGTTCATCGAGTGGATCTGCTGCTGTGGTTTCTGCAGGATTATGTCCTGTTGCTCTTGGTGTTGACGGGGGAGGTGAGTTCTTTATTCTCTGTTCATTTTCTTTTTGCATGTAAATGCCAAAGCTAAGCCAGAAATTCAACTAAGAAGGAAAGTTCTGCCTCATGATATTATGTGGTGGACGAAAGAGTTCATTCGATAACCATCATCATACAAACTCAGGCATCACACAAAAAATCTTCCTGTACTAGACGAGCATGTGATCCAGTCAAAATCTTCCTCAACTACTTGACTAGATGATTCTTTTAAAGAAAACAACATAAAAAACCTATGGTAGTTTTTTTCTTATAAGCCCAAGTTTTTTGCAATGTATCTTCAGGATCCGTGCGGATGCCTGCGGCTCTTTGTGGCGTGGTTGGTTTAAAGCCGACTTTTGGACGTGTACCACATGAGGGGTAAAAACCAGTTTGTCAGTATTCCTTCAGCATGTTAGTCTCTTGCACATTTTTCAGCATCAGAATTCTGGTTCTTGTTTCGACTTGCAGCGTTCTTCCTCTGAATTGGACTGTTGGGATGGTTGGTATACTTGCTGGCACAATTGAGGATGCCTTTGTCGTGTCAGTGATATACTTTTAGACATCTCTAGCCCTTAAACTTTTGTTCCTTGTCATACCCAGAGGAATCTTTGTCTTTCTATTAATACATCTTCACTTTGATTTACTTTTCCAGTTACGCAGCTTTAAGTGGCCAACCTGTTCCGCATAGTCCAACACTCCCATCGGTACTGTCCCACTAAATTTTCATACTAGCAACGATTTCTGTTCTGAATGACATGGAGTTGATCATGCACATTTAAAACATCATCTTCTCGGGTGACGATGAGTATTCACCTTAGTGAATGAAACTCACTGTTGAGACTGAACATGATGGAGAAAATGAATTGCAACAACTCTGTTTAAAAAAAATTTCATTCTTCTTCTTGTCTCTCTCATTTTCATTCTGCCATATGCAAGGCCTATCATCTTTCTTTCTTTCTAAAGAATGCATTTTCTGTCTGACTTGCAATCTTTGATTTTCCGTATAAGTAGCCCAAAGAATACTATCCCTTATTGAAGCCGACTACACCTATTTCTGGCATCAGATTGGCAAAGTATGGAAAGGTTGGTAACAATTGCTCTCTCTGTCTTAATGTCACATGCACCTTTTAAGCCTAATAAACTGAATCAGTTAATGGTATCGGATCACTCTCTGAAATATTATCATCTAACTGCGTTTCTTCTTTGTCAAACCACTAATTAAACCAATTAGTGGTTCGATGATTGCAGTGATGAAATCAAGGCATGTTGTTCTCATGCACTGGACAAGCTTCATAAACAGTATGGTTGGGAGGTACTTAAAAAATTCCTTACTTTTTTGTTCCAATTCCTAATTTATGTCGTGCCTCTTTTATTCTCAAATTGTAACAGAATGACTCATTATTCTATGCAACAAGTGCAAAAATGAGAGACTACAACTGATAGCTGTCATCATCATCAGTTGAAGAATAGTGGGTGATTCCTTGCTAACTCTCCAAATCGTTTTTTCCTTTAAAGACTCTGGAGGTGACTATACCGGAGATAGAAGTGATGCGACTGGCACATTACACAACAATCGCGTCCGAGTGCCACACATCACTCAGTTCTTATCTAGAGAAACTGTATGTCTCCTGATCAAACAGTAACATCTTCTCCTAAATAAGAGAATCCATTTGAGCAATTATAGATTCTGACATAACAACATCGATGAGTTAGGGATGTTGCAGAATTAGGATGGGATGCAAGGGTGGCACTCGGTGTATATGGTTCCTTCAGCAGCCAGGAGTATATTAAGGCCCAGAGAATTAGGTAAAGCCCCAGCTGTCGTTAGTTCATGCTATGTTCACTTAAGACCTTAAGGTTGTAGTAGTGAGATGAACAGATCACCTATGTGTGTTAGGTAAGCTTGACTATTTTGTTTGGTCTTACTAGTCATGTGACATTAACTGGCTTTCTCATATATCTACAGGAACCGGCAGCTGCAATTTCACAGGAATATATTTGCTAAAGCAGATGTCATTGTGTCGCCAACAATAGGGTACTTATTCCCAATTGAGTTATGTCTTCTTTGTCATAAAAAAAATAGAATTGACAAAGGATACTGAAATTTTTGACAGGGTAACTGCGTATGAAATCTTCGATGATGCTCGCGAAACTGGTGAACTTGATTACATAAATGGAGGTACAGAAAACTGACCTATTGTTGGTTTTTCACTTGTTTTGATTATAAATTGCTCTATCGCTGAGTGCTAGGAAAGGTATTAAACTGAGCAACCTCATTGTTCCAGCTGCACTTGTGCGTTATTCAATAGCAGGGAACTTTCTAGGATTGCCTACCATAACAATCCCGGTACGAGCACATACTTATTTGCACATCATTGTTTCTAGTCAGAGATAATGAATTTTTAACTTGTCTGATACATACTTTTTGTGGATCTATAGGTTGGATATGACAAATTGGGCTTGCCAATTGGCCTTCAGTTTATCGGGAGGCCGTGGTCTGAGCCGACATTGATCCACATAGCTCATGCCATGCAGGTGACTCTCTTCCCTCTTCTGTTTGGCCTAGTCAGCTAAAATTCATTACACAAAATTCTCTAATTACTTGGGCAATTCTGAGGAATTCATTCTCTCAGGGTTCTGTAAGGCAATAACTTATTATAACACACTGCTATGCAATCTGTCATGAGGGTTCACTAACATAACATGAACTTACTTTGCTCTAGGCCCTGTGCATATCCGAGTGCCAAAAGCCAGAAGTATTCTATGATCTGCTCAAGGAGGACTAATCAATGGGCAGAGAGAGCTTTATCCGCCTGCTCGACAAGTCCCTTTCATCTTTATTCGGCGATACACCATTGAAAATTTTCCTTTTGCCTTTCATAATTACTGTTTACGTGATGAATTATTCAGGTCAGGGATCTGGAAGATGGAGTAAACTTAGTCTGGTGCTTGAAACTGTCTTAGAATATGACCCAACGGTCCTGACCCAAACGCCCAAAAAAAGAAAAGGAAAAAACAGTTTATGGCTTTTGCAAGTGACTTGATGTGTACAGAGGTTTTCCTGCTGGCAAGAGTGACTTTGAAACCATCCAATGTCCTTATTTACCAAATGACTGCTCTGTTACTGCTGCAACTTTTCCAATGGATGGTTTGATTCAGATTTTAAAAGACGAGAAGAGAACCAACAAGTACATGACAAGTTCCTGGATATATCTAACCAAAAAAAAAAAAAAGTTCCTGGATATATAATGTTCATACAAAATACAAGCATAAACATATTCCTGTATCTAATCTTGATAATTTCTTTTATGAGATTATAATAGTTGAAATTTACATGAGGCAAGCTTCTCTTCCTTTTCTTGCCCATGGAGTCCAAAAGGGTTATAAGGCTAAGCGGACTTAAGAAAGCAAAAACAGAAGCACTACTTGAATGCAATATCTGTGAAGTTCCTTCTGAAGTGACACAATTAGGGAACACTAATGAGACCAAGATCTCTCTCATTGAGTTCTTTGCTTTACTTCTTTGTATTTTCAATATGTTGATAATCCTTGGGTACAAAAGAGAATGATCATTTTCATTTTACATAACATTGAAATGGCAAAAAACAGGTACAACATAGTTCGAGGATTGTGGCGTCTATAAAGCCCTGTATGGATTTTCAAAGTGGTTCCAAGAGATCGTTGGTACATTAGGCTCTTAAAGCCACACTAAATCGTGCAAACTAAATGTGTTGTCTTATGAGATCCATGTGCAAATATTGTTAGAACACTGACAAAAGAAGAAAAAAAAGTTCAAAATGGATCGATCTATGGATTGGAAATGATCGCGATCTATGTTAGATGTGTTGTTAGTTTCAACAGGACGTAAGAGATTTGGTTACTACAAACCTGAGAAAGCCCCACTAGTGCACAAAGGTAATCCCGATATCAGACCTAATGTCAAACACAAGATTGTCTACATATACTAGGGTATACTCAAAACAATCATAAGGTCCCGATTATGGATTTTCGATGAACATATGACTGATGAATAAATGAAAGTAGCTGAGGTATTTCCTTAGTGGTAAAAGAGATACATTTTCTTATTTTTAATTCTTAAACTTTTGATTGTGGCTATCAAGGGGTGGTGGCGCAGTTGGCTAGCGCGTAGGTCTCATAGCTTTTCGAGTTATCCTGAGGTCGAGAGTTCGAGCCTCTCTCACCCCAATTTCCTTTTCTTCCTTTTTTTGTTTTTGTAAAAGTTTTTCTTTTTCCTTTTAATGGAGGATCAGGAAGATAACCAGAACTAAAACACTTCAAACTCTTCAATCGAAATAGATCTGAACTGAGCGTTTACGGGCACAAGGATAGGAACAATATTCTCTGAAAATTTAGGAAAGGACTGAAGAATCATGTTGGGGTGTGGTTCGTACTCCCTATCTTTAGGAAGGCACGGGTGAGTTGGCGGGGGTCCGGGGCCGTCTTGATGGGCATTTCAGTGGGTAGCGCTCCTGGACTCCAAAGGGCTTTCATAATTTGAGCCCATATTTTATTGGTAATTTGTATTTGAGCCCATAAATAGCTACTAAGCTGTTGATATCTTATTCTTGCAAGTGAGAACTGTGATAGAGAGGTGTGAGATGCTAATTATAGTAGAATTCTCCACTGGACATAACCCTTTTTTAACGGTGAACCAAGATAAAATCTCGCGTCTCCTCACATTTACTCTCTATTTCATTGTGTTTGTGTGTCTAATCTTAACAACTAACGATATTGGCTGAATCAAAAACCAAAAATACAGAGAAAGAGGAAGTAAATGGTCGGATAAAGGAGCGGAAAATGCAGATATAGCTTGATTGAACTTTAGTTATGACAAATCTGAAGAAGCTTCGATTGGATACGACGAAATTCGAGAACAATCGAAACCGGAACCAACCACGGGGATTCGTCACTCGGAGAAAGAGAACGACGGTGCTGAGAGGACGGGCTGTCCTAGGAATTGGAGAATTTCTGGTGATCACCTCGCAAGCTCCTTAGGCTCCCCCTGCACGTCGCCTCCACGAGGCTCAATAAACCGGCCGAAGAAAATGAAAGATAGAAAAGAAGGCCGGGCTCCCTCTCTATTGCGGGCTTTCCTTCTATTTAATGGGTCTCAAAATAGGTGGGCTCAGTTTATGTGTTCTATGGGGCCGCAATGAATGGTGGGTTGGTATGAGTGATGGGTTTTGGTAATGGGCTCCGACTGGGATTAATGTGGGGAAAATTACTAAAAAAGTCATAAACCTATTGCATTGATATCAATTCAGTCATAAACCCTTTCACATTAGTATCAATTTAGACCTAAACCCTTTCGTATTGATACAAATTCAGTTATAAACCTTTCAATTTTACCAATTTAATCATAAACTCTTTCGCATAGACCGGAAATCGCTGACGTGAACGCTAGCAGTCCTACGTGGCATGGCCGGAGCTGACGTGAACAAAATTTATAATTTTTTGATAATTTTTTCAGATTTTTGTAATTTGTTTTTTTTGTTTTTTTTTTCCTCTTTTCTTACTCGCACTCGCACTCACTCGGTATAAATTCATTCTGCTTGTTTTAACTCGCTGTTATTGGATTGATTATAAATTCCTCATACCATTTTTATTAGTGATAATATTTAATTCATTATAGAAACAGTTTGTTTTCAACTCTCAGCACACATTGTTTCTACCGTCTCTACTAACTTACTAGAGACCACATCAATTCGGACACAGAAAATACAATTCGGATCTTCCAATTACTACATCGTTATTAATCCAATTGAGATTCCTCACGAAACATTATCTTTATATCCTACATATTATTAGCTGATGTAGGAATTCCCGGATGTCACACTATATTTTATTTAAAATGTGTTTAGAAATATTTTTATTATAAAATCCATGAGACATTAAATTTATGGAGCAAAAAATGAATAAGAGAAAACTTAGTTATTGATTGCATGCAACTTATGTTTAGATTTTTATTATTCATGATAGATTAATTGCAAAATAATAACGGTTGTGCAAAATGTTAGGCATTATTTTAATAATTTCTAGGGAGAAGTGAAAGTGACTAGGCAATTTTAAGAATGATTTGTAGGGGGAGAGCCTAGCTTGGAAAATAGTTTTTCTAGAGATCTATTTTGAGAATAAACTTTCTAGAGAGACTAAGGGCGTGATTGATAATCATTCTGTTTCCTTGTATTTTTATTTTTTTGTTTTCCGGAACATGTTTGGAACAAAAATCTGTTTGGTAAAATAATTTCATTTTTTTTATTTTCGAGACAAATTTTGGCCTAGAAATAGATTTGGAATTCAAATGAGAAGTTAAAATTTTCTAATTTTCTATTTCTGGAATAGAAACAGAAACAGAAATAACAACTCTCTTTTATTGCTCACCCTTGCCGCCACCCATCACTAGCCGTCCACTGCCGCTCGCTCGCCCGTCTGCCGCCGCCGGCCAGCCATCCGCTAGCCGTCCGTCGCTACACCCCGTTGGCCACCCGCTACCGCCGCTCGCCGGCTATTTGCCGTTCGCCAGCCGTCTACTGCCGGTCGCCCGCCACTACCACTCGTTGCCCCCACCACTTGCCGGCCATTAGCCCACCGCCATCGCTCGCTCGCTCGCCGCCATCGCCACTCGCCAGCCATCCCTCGCCGCTGCTCCCGCTCGCCTGCACGCGGCCATCGCCACTCGCTGGCCGTCCACCCACTCCCCCCCGCCACCACTGCCCCTTGCCAGTTGGCAACGAATTTCTATTTCGGGAACATAAATTTTGTGTCATTATCAAACGAATTTCTATTTCGGGAACATAAATTTTGTGTCGTTATTAAATACTACTTTTTGCTTAAAAACTCATCCGGGAAAGAGAAATAGATTTTTCTATTTTTAGCTAGAAATAGGGCCGTGAAAGATAAATGTTTTCATTCGTGCCCTAAGAGCGTGCATGATAACATATCTGTTTCTCTATTTTTTTATTTTTATGTTCCCGGGAATATGTTTGGAATAGACATCCGCTTGGTAAGGCAATTTCATTTTTCTATTTCTGGAACAAATTTTGATTCCAGAAATAGGTTTGGAATAGAAATGAGAACTAAACATTTTCTACTTTTTTTATTTCTGGAATAGAAATGAGAATTAAAAACTCTTTTTATTGGTTGCCCTTGCTATTAGCTAGCTGCCCACCCACCGCCCGTCGTCGCAGGCTCCCGCCACCACCGCCCGTTGGCCATCAGCTGCCTCCCGTAGCCATCCTCCGCTGCTCACTAGCCACCTCCCACCACCATCCTCCGCTGCCAACCACCTCCTGCCACCGTCCGCCCGCCGTGCACCCATCGACCGCCTCCCACCCCGGCCACCACCTGCCGTCCTTCGTCACCCACCTATTGTCCACCCGCTGCTTGCCATCCTTCACCACCCGCCCCCCGAGGCCAGTAGCTAGCCGCCCGAAATAGAGAAATTTTGTGTCGTTATTAAACGAATTTTTATTTCGGAAAAAAAATTTTGTGTCGTTATCAAACACGTATTTTTCTCAGAAACTCTTGTAGGGAATATAAATAATAAAATTTATTTCTGGCCAGAAATTAATTTCTGAAATAGAATGATTATTATTCGCGCCTTTGGGCCAAAGGTCTATTCATGGGGAACCTATGACGTTTCCTCATCATCCAAGAAAATCTTGAGAGTTATATATTTGATATCTGCAGAATGACGTACGTTTGCAGTGAGTTGTGATTTGCAAATTGGATAGCACCAATCCTGGAAATCGAAATTTTCCATACGTGGCCGGTGGACTTATGAAAAGGCAGAAGTAATTATGTTTACTTTCCCACTAAAACCTATTATATAATTTAAATTTTGAAAATTTGAACAAAATTATACTCGAATCTACATATCAATGTAAGATCACTTTCAAAGGTTTCAACCATTTCTCATTACTAAAAGTGAATTCCAGTAACTCGTAAGATTATAAAAAAGCAAAAAGTAAACACCAAACAGACGATAATTCTATTTAGAATTAGGGATTTCGTTTAATAGTTATCAAAATTGTTGAATTTTGAGAACTAAATAAGCAGCTAATTAAATTTGTAAAATTTCCATTATAGC